CTGATGTGTTTAAGGGACACAAGGAAAACCTATTCTAATTAACAACAGAGTTAATGGATACATTTATGTAGTCGTCATACAATAGACACATAGCAGAGTTGATGATGATTTACTGCGATTGTGTCTGCTGGAAAATATATCGTGTTTTCACTGTGTGTGCTTTATGTGGTCTGTTGGATGGTAAGGTGACGCAAGGCATGATGGGAGTTTAGCACGTCTTTTATTATTATTTACAATTTCATTTAGAAATGTAAATGTAATCGTTTACATACGTACAGCTTGCAATGCCCCTTGTGTTATATTTTCATAGTTTGTTTTAAATTGTTCACGCAGAAAGAGATTTTATAAAACAAGATGTTGTAGACTGGCTCCAGAGGCTGCAGGTAACATGCAGAACAACATGTGGAAACAAACATAGACCTCACAGAACTGTGGAATTCTCCCTTTCTGCATTCCCAAAACGTCACTTCTAAAGTCACTGAGCAAAACAAAGAGGCCACAAAGATGTGTAATAATCATTGAGAGGAGTTGGCCTGAATGGTTGGGTAAAGGTAAACGTTATTGTTTAATTGTTATATTTAACCTATGTTGTGTATTTTTAACAGAATTAGAGCAACACAAATTAGTACTCTACAGCACCCGTCCAAAATAAGTAGGCTACATTAAACAGCCAACCACAGCACGATTAAGGCTAACAGTATTAATCATATTTTTGTAACTACATCACATTTAAAAAAAAGAGGAAATGTTGCAAACCAAGTAAACCTATTGAATATTTACCTGAAGGCATGAGGAGAGAAGAGGGTCCTCCGAGTTACAATACTGCATACTGAACTAAAAGTAGGCCTACTTTCTTAAAATGACCGCATTGAGCATTACATAAGCTTTGAAAAGGTAGAAACCAAGTCCGAAAAGTTTTGAAAGTCCAGCAGTTATTAGCTAACACTGAAACGGTGTCCATGCAAAGGCCTGAAAACACAGAAGACCTGGTTTCTTTCACCTGGGTTCCCTGCTGAAAAAAACAGCATGGACCAGCATGGTGTTGACCAGCATGGACCAGCCTATGTTGTGTTTTGGTCACCAGCATGGTCCACCAGCATGATCGACCAGCATGGACCAGCATGATCGACCAGCATTGGTCCATGCTGGTGGTCCATGCTGGTGGTCCATGCTGGTGGTTCATACTGGTACCAGCATAGTATGCTGGTTTGCTGGTCACCAGCATACTAGCATAGACCAGCATACAAGTGACCAAAACACAACATATGCTGGTTTTGCTGGCATACCAGCAGACCAGCAGACCAGAATTGATCTATCATCAGTTTATGTTAGTATTAAATATACAATGTTTTCTGGTAACTATCAAAATAAAGACATTGTATAGTGTTCATAACAGTATTTTTATTTAATAAATTATACATTAACAATACAATAATATTACAAAAAAAACCTACATCTAAATAAATATATCATCTATAATAGATGCATTTGATTTAGAAATAACAAATATAATTAAAAATGTAAATAGCAACAAAGAAATGATAAAAAAAAAATGTTAAAGTATTTTTTTCTTTTTCTTGTTAATATCCAGTATCTTCTCTGTTATGTATCTTCCGGTCTTTGCCAATCCGGCCAGCATTTCTTGGTCCTCCACGTATTTCTCGTACAGCCACTGCTTGAAGCAAACTGAAAATAAGAAACAACTATGTTTTAACAAATCGTATTAAATTATGTGATGACAGACCTGTAAACAGAATAGTTATTACTTTCTTCCTTTACTTGGCATTCTTCAAAAATACACAGATTGCAGCACATCGTTTCACGTCTTTGTACAGCCTTTCTCAGCAGTAGAGTAATGTGTTGGCGAACCTTTGTTTCCTCCTGACAGATCACTTAAAAGTATACTCAATTCAATACAATAGCTTTATTAGCATGACCTCAGTTACATATAGTATTGCCAAAGCTCTGTATAGTTGCAACATCTATACAAAATATATATATACAATATATATATACATTATATATACTCCCCCTTGTGGCAAAAGGGGGACACAACTCTTGTCTTCAGATGTATGCTTGAGTGCAGGAAATGTAGCTCAGTGACTTTTGTCAACTAAACATAAAACAATACATATTTTAGTAAACGGGACATTATAATCTCTGCACATTAACTCTATATTTGCCTCTGCCATGGTGCCAAAATGAAATGAAATAAACAATATATAGGGGATTGCTTCTTCTCTGAACGTCTATGTATACTGCATCCCTCCATATCAAATAAACCATAAACAAATACAGAAAGTCGTGTTCACTGCAGCGATCTATTTCACACACAAAACTATGGAAACTTGGTGATATACAGTTCTCCTGGAGACCAAGGGAAGACAGGCTTCTCCTGTTTTTTCAGCCTTTGTTATCATTTTGATAATTACAAATATATATTCTTGTTTGTGGTTGTTTTTGCGTTCAGGGCATACAAGGGGTGTAACATTATTTGAATACCAGAACTATATTGAAATAGAGTCTCACTTGAACAGCAACGTAGCTGTCACATTACTGGGTTATTTGGTGATAACTACCAAAGTAAAGTAACTTCAGACGCAGACGTCACGTAGCTTCTCAGACGAGAGGGGTGGCGACGAGAGTGTCACGTTACTTCTCTCGCGGCATAGTTCACGTCAGGGTAGGCGACGATCAACACGATTGTCTGCTCAGTTAGTTAGTTCTTTGGCACAAATCACACATCATAGCCTCACTATAGTGTCTCCCCGTCCAATCCCCCCTCCACCCAGTAAAAAAATCGCGTGCGTGTTGTGTGTGTGTAAACTGCCTCACCCCCTCGCACACAGACAGGGGAGAGAGATCTCTCGTCTCCTGAAAGATCGAAAATAAATCAGACGCATTTTGTAGTCTTTTTGCATATTAGAAACGGAGTTGGCGACAGTAAGACTGCGATATAATGTTTATGTAGCAATAATACATATGACATCTATTTTTTTAACGTCTACCAATAAAAAGATTGTTAACGTTGGACCTTAACGGTACCACAGTCTTTAATAATTCAGCCCCGGGGGCCCGTTAATACCGGGGCTCGGTACCCATCCCTAGTTTTAATTATTACATCATCAATATTACATTTCAAATAACCAAGAACTTGGTATCTCACAAAGAGCAAGTGGCTAGTGCTGCTAAGAACATACCTTTCAAAACTGATAGCTTCTGTGGGGTTAGAGGCTGCCTGGTGGTCTTGGTGGTGGGGCATTCCTTTCCAGTCAGGCTCCTTTCCCCTAAGGCAGGGGTGCCCAACCTTTTTTTAACCGAGAGCTACTTTTAAAGTTGCCAGTCTGCCGAGATCTACCAGTCCAAATAGAGAGGCGTAGCCATTACTGACAGCCTACTACCAGGTAAATACACACTTCTACTTGTATACAACTGACCTTTGTACGATTAATACTTCATAAAATACTGCAGATCCTTTATCTTACCTCTTTCTAATCTACACACATACAAGTATTTAACTGAAGTTACACAACAGTGTTGTTGATACAGAGTTGGAGTTTATTCACACGTCACATACTACAGTTATGTTTTCAAGAAACATTGAACAGTGCTGCCACATATGACACAGGGAAAAAAGAAAAGACTCTGAACCCTTTCTTTGCCATTATATAAAATAGTGTTGCTACAAAAGTATAAATTAGGCTTACTAATAAGACAACTCAGATCTGAAGCTGCACAGGAATCTGCTGCCAAAGTGCAATAAAAAAGACAAAATTAATAGAATCAAACCCTTTTTTATGCATTTTAGTAGAGTATAAAAATAAATGCCTTTTAAAATAGGATGCAAGCAACACTAGTTTCTTAACCTGAATTGATAATAGACTATAATCAATTTAAACAGAACAGATCTGAATGTTTGCATTCTTATACCATTTTGTACAATAATTATAATGAATAAGTTCAAACAAACTAAAACTTACAGCTGATTAATAACGGTATCTAACTTGAGTTTTCATCATATCAAAAACCTGTTGAAATGTTACTGTTATTTTTACTGTCCCCCAAAAGCGCGTCGCAGCCTCCAGGAATGCTTCTTTCACAACTTCGCCGTCTTTGAAAGACTTCATGTGTTACGCAAGAACGTGACTGACACGTTAAGATGCTATGCCTATGGTAGCAGCCTTGCTCTTGTTGTTGGGCCTGGTGAAAATGGACTGCTGTGCATTTAGCTGTGCTCTCAGGCCCCTCCCCTTTTGGGAGCGTAGGGCAGAATTAGGATGGAATTCCGTCTCGTAGCGTTTGTGCACTGTTTTGAAATGCCGCTCCTAAATTACCCTTCTTCGATAAAGCTACGCTCGCATTGAAGATGAGACAGATGGACTTTGAATTGGAATAGATACAAAAATAATCATCCTCCCACTCGGAGTGAAAATTATATATTTTGTTTTTTTTTGCTTCTGCCATAATTGCGGTCTTTTGTGTGTGCGGACTGGCACTCCTGTTGACACGGACAAAGTCAGCGAAATACTGCCCAATGCCCACCAGTCACGCCCCGACACATGGGGTCTCGCCGGCCAATCACAAAGCTTTGATGCGTGCAAGTGCATTATTCTGGCACAGGAAGATTATGTTACAGGACATTAACGATACAACAGAATGTTGTTGTTCTATTTTTAGACACATCTCGCGATCGACTGGGAATCTCCCCGCGATCGACCGGTCGATCGCGGGGAGATTCCTGGGGATCGACTGGTTGGGCACCCCTGCCCTAAGGTGTCGGTGTCCCAAAACGCCACAGCCAACTCCTTCACGAACATGGAGTCCCTTGTGTTGTTTTTTATTTTTGCCCAGACCTCTGGACGCACTGGAATCTCCCCTTTCAAGTGAATGACAACAATCTGAAACATCAAATGTGTACAGTAGCCTATACATACAAGCTAGACACCAATATGAGACTGAGGAGCAAAAATGAAAAGGCTCCACTATGGAAATAATATATACCTTCCCATGTGGCTCGCTCTTTGAAGGGGAATTATTGGGGTGTGTGGGTGTCCAGGGTGCCGGCTCACACTGTTCAGGTATCTCAGATTGTTCTTCTACAGAATGTGAATAAGACAAAGAAAGGACAAAAACATTTCATCAATAGTATAAATTAATATGTGTATATCTTGATGGGCTGATTGTTTACACATTTCACTGCCATCTTGTCTGTTTCTTTTATTGTAGTTGCTGATGAAAGTTAAAATGCAAAATCGATCCAAGACTGTCATTATTATTTGCTTGCAATTTAAAAACAAATGTACTTACTTTGTGAAAATACCTGGTTTAATAGTTTATCCAAATTAATGTTTAGATTTGCTGTCCTGTAGGTGGTGACTTCCCCTTCCAGCTCAGCTTTGGAATCCTCCAATGTAGCAGATCTTTATAATGTAATGAAAAATAAAATGATCAACAAAACAGCCTTTTAGCCTACCACCAGTCAAATCTGTTGTTACCCTATGACTGGTAAAAACACAAACATTAAATGTACCTTCTGTATTAACCGTCTAAAGATGAGTTCCTGTTGTAATTGTGCAGCTGTATTATCTAGGAAATAGAAGAATCGGGTAAGGATTCGGTATTGGCAGACAATCAATATCAAATGACTCGGATCGTTATTAGCATCAGCATTTGATCACCTTTGTCTACTTGCAGCTCAAATACAAAGATAACTCCACTCCTCTCCTACCACTGCTTACCTCTAATAAGCCTTGGTAGAACTAGTGTCCTAGTCATAGGGTCCAGGACTGACTGAAGACATGTGGAACAGAGTCCCAGACAGGCTTGGTTCCATGTACAGGGAACTGAAACTTTGAACAGGTGTTTTCATCTGTTCTGCCTGAAGATTCACAAGTTCTTGATCAGGTGTTTGATGTGGGCTGGCATGATCGTTTCTGCAGCCAAACAAAGAAAACATTATTAATAATAGCAATGATGGTAACAACAATAATATTAGTATAACTATTTATATAGCACTTACACAATTGCAAAGTGATTCTCACTACAAAAATAAAGAACAAAACAATATCATCAATACAAAAAATAAGCATTAAAGAAGTTCAGAGACAAACATACTCTTAAGTAAAAGACCAAATCATGTCAAGCTTTAAATCTTTCAGTCTTTACAATGCACAATTACAATTACAATTTACAATTACCTTCCAAAGGCTAGATTCAAACTCAAAAATAACTGGGTACCAAATTGCTTTACCTGATAGAACACGTTCCACACGGAGCAGCAACCATCCGACTGGGCCTTTTGCTGCATATCATCTCCTCCCTCTCCACTGTTTCCAGTAGATCTCTGCTGCCTCTTTCCAATAAAACTGAAATGCCCCAAAAAAATCATATTTAAAAAGTTAAAAACAATAAATGGCTTCTGGCATTAACATGGATTTGAATCTCACCAGAGCAGTTCTTTCCCTCCTGAATGATTATCCTGCAAACTGGGGCCTAATCGCCAAACACCATTCCATTCTCCTGTTGTATTATCATGAGAATATTTTCATTCATATGACGTGTAACAATAAATATGTATTCCATACATCACGTCTCTCCGGTTTGAAATGTGTAGGCTACTACTTATCAATCACTTACTCCTTATGTTGCTAGCAGTGGTGTAAAGTAACTTAGTAGATACTCGTACTGTACTTTAGTACATATTTAAAGAGGAACTTCAGCTTTACTTGAATATTTCAATGTTTTTCTACTTTGTTCTACAATTCAGAAGTAAATCGTGTACTTTTACTCCACTACACCGTTTAATACCTTTGAAATATAAACAACACTTAAATAAGACTTTAGTTACACCTGGAGACAATTCAAAAGCTACCCTGCAGTATACAAAGTAATCCAAAGTAACTGCACCTTTACCAGATTTGATAAACAAATAAATGCATCAATAATTAGAATCAATCATATTATTATGAAATGTGCCAAACTGCATAATGAGTATTTCTACTTGTGGTACTTTAAGTATATTTGGATGCTAATACCAATTTCTACTTTTACTTGAGTAACATTTTATATAGGCTACATGAATTTTACTTGTAACAGAGTATCCCTACACTCTGTACTTCTATTTTTACTTAAGTGCAATAACAGAGTACTTCTACTGTTCTACTGTTACTGCTAAGAGTATTTCTTAAATGATTGTGTTTATTCAAATGGTTAAACAGGTAAATATATTTTATTTCTAAAAAGGTTTTTGAGACGTTATGCTCTGCAGGTTAAATGTAGAAAGTGTGTTTGACTTCTTGCTCAAACATTGGCAAAGCTTTAACGTGTGTTCACATCTGATAGTTGTATGTCAATAAATGCGTATAGGGTAACACTTTATAATAAGGTACACAAATTAACCATCAACTAGTTGTTATTAGCATGCATATTAGCAGTATAATGGCTCTAAGGAGGCTCGGTTGGCGATAATCTTTACCATATTCATATTGTCCTTGTGTGGGATTTCTCCATGGTTACTTTGGTTGAATACAAATCTGATAGAGGTCTTAGCTGTCATTGTCTATTGAGTCAGAATGCAATCTTTAAGTTGTGTATGTGTGAGTTGGTACCAATCCAGGAGACTGGCAATATCCTACCACAAAGCAGATAGTTCATCCAGTTGTTCTAGCGGCAATGTGGATCTGGGTTACCTGAAATCAAACCGGGAGTCCTGCCATCTCCTGGGATCTTTGCGTCTTCTTCACTGGATCTACTCACTCAATATAAGCCTCAACCTGCATTAAAAAAAAAAACAGCGTTGAAGTCTCTGTTTGTTTTCCTTCATATTTCAACTCAAGCTTCCCTCCCTTATGTCATGTTACAGAACATCATATCACATAATAAAATCAAAGGAGGTGCTGCTGACTGAATGTTAACTTAAAGGTCCATATACCCATAGATTCTGAATAGACAATAGTGAATGAATGATTTTAGACACAGCCTAATATCAGTTAAAATGATAACTATACGCGGTAACACTTTATATTAAGGTACACAAATTAACCATCAACTAGTTGTTAATTAACATGCATATTAGCAGTATATTGGCTCTTTATTAGTCATTATAAAACACTTATTAATGCCTTATTCTACATGACCATATTCTACAAGTAATAAGCCATTAGTTGAGAGTTTTTCCTCAATAACCCTCTAATTAGTGCTTATTTATTGCAAGTAAGGAAGTTGTTGTCCATGAGTTTTGGTCTTAATATGCGCTGCTTAATATGGGCCTAATAAGGCAGTAGTAGCACAAGAATAGTAATTCTCCCATAATAACACTTAACAAATATGATCTATTCTTATGGAACAAGACATGAAACTATAAGTGTTAATTGTGTCTAAATAACTCAAAATTAGGTATTTATATTTTATAATATGTTTTGGGGTATTGACAGTTCAGCTACCAATAGCAAGATGATATTGACCTGTATGTTTCATATTTGCCCATTTATATTTGTGTAAAATGTGTACTGAAGGTTAGACCCGGGTACAGGAAGTAGGAGAACGTGAACTACACTGCTACTAATTTTCCCTTTGCAACCTGAAGAGTAAAAGGGTCAAGTCCGTCAGAAAGCAATGACTGTAAGTGTAAGTGTGAGCCTTACACTTACACTGTAAGGATTAGTAACATGTATTGTGTTTATGTGATGACATGTGGAGATGTTTAAACTCAATGAGAAAATGCGTTAGCATTCGCGCTAGTGTTAGCATACACGGTAGTGTTAGCATACATGCTAGCGTTAGCCATACTAGCCTGTATACATGCTTATTGTACAGCTAGCATTAGCTATATTTACCTTGTTTACACTAAGCGGTCCTAATGTGTTCATCTGTGTATGTTACACTTGCATGTATGAGATCATTAAGTGCCTTGTAACTTCTTTTTTTATAGTTTCACTCCGTTTGAATGTCAGTGGACTGCAAATAAGTCAATAAAGGAGCATGGCTGCTCATTCCCTGGCTCTCAAAAGAGTTTGGCTGGTTTTTTAATCTATGTTCACACTGAGACAACACAGAGAGAGAACAGTACACCTATTGTGTAAGAACATACAAGCAGGTCACACAGTATGATCACAAATACATAAACTCTGTTAAAAATCAGTTTTTATTAAAAAGTACAGGCTGCATGTGTGTTCTCAGCCTTGGAGAAACTTGACATGTTTTGGTACATGTATGTGTCTGAACCTCTCTTCAGTGGTTCAATAATATAACAGATATTTCAACGTGTGCCTACTTTGTTCATGTACTGTTGAGGTTAATTTCAGTAGTTGTGTGCTATAATGTATTTACAAAGTGTGAAGAGGAGGCAACTTTAGAATAGGGAACCTGTTCTGGTCAATTAGAGTCAAATTACTAGCTTATTGGTTATGAGCAATACTTCACTTTAAAATAGGGAAAATATTCTTAGATATAAATACCTAATTTTGAGTTATTTAAACTTAATTAACACTTGTAGTTTCATGTCTTGTTCCATAAGAATAGATCATATTTGTTAAGTGTTATTATGGGAGAATTACTATTCTTGTGGTACTACTGCCTTATTAGGCCCATATTGGGCAGCGCATATTAAGACCAAAACTCATGTACAATAAGTTCCTTACTTGCAACAAATAAGCACTAATTAGAGGGTTAATGCGGAAAAACTCTCAACTAATGGCTTATTACTTGTAGAATATGGTCATGTAGAATAAGGCATTAATAAGTGTTTTATAATGACTAATAAAGAGCCAATATACTGCTAATATGCATGTTAATTAACAACTAGTTGATGGTTAATTTGTGTACCTTAATATAAAGTGTTACCGCGTATAGTTATCATTTTAACTGATATTAGGCTGTGTCTAAAATCATTCATTCACTATTGTCTATTCAGAATCTATGGGTATATGGACCTTTAAGTTAACATTCAGTCAGCAGCACTTCCTTTGATTTTATTATGTGATATGATGTTCTGTAACATGACATAAGGGAGGGAAGCTTGAGTTGAAATATGAAGGAAAACAAACAGAGACTTCAACGCTGTTTTTTTTTTAATGCAGGTTGAGGCTTATATTGAGTGAGTAGATCCAGTGAAGAAGACGTAAAGATCCCAGGAGATGGCAGGACTCCCGGTTTGATTTCAGGTAACCCAGATCCACATTGCCGCTAGAACAACTGGATGAACTATCTGCTTTGTGGTAGGATATTGCCAGTCTCCTGGATTGGTACCAACTCACACATACACAACTTAAAGATTGCATTCTGACTCAATAGACAATGACAGCTAAGACCTCTATCAGATTTGTATTCAACCAAAGTAACCATGGAGAAATCCCACACAAGGACAATATGAATATGGTAAAGATTATCGCCAACCGAGCCTCCTTAGAGGACAATCTCCCTGTGGTTTAAAATGCCAGTTTTTTAAAATGATATTGACATCCAATTGACAATGTTGCACTTGTATAGCCATTAATGGGCAAACTAAAGTTGCTGAATTCTTTGTGTTGCGGTATTTATGGTCATATCACTCTAAAAACAAATGCCTTGGCTCAACACAGAAAATCAACGCAACAGTTTGCATTAATGTTTATTGAGTTATGACAACTTCTAATGAAATTGTGTTAAACCAACAAACTTATTTGAGTTAGGGGAGAAGGCTTTCCCTCTACAATCAGAGGTGTTTTTAATTACCACTTACTTAATAATTGGTAGCATAAACACAAGTTTTTAAGTTGATTACTCACAAAATTAAGTTGTTCCGACTAGTTTTAAAAGGGATTTTAAGTTGTATGTACTAAATTACCATCATTGTGAACACACGTTTTTAAGTAGACAACCATTTATAAATTAAGTTGCTTCAAATATATTGTATTCAATAGTTTTTTTTCTTAGCTTTTTCATGTTTTTGCCTTTAAAGAAAGAAATTAATTGATTCCACAACAAAAATATTAGGCAATTCACTTTTTATTTTGAACTGCAGTTGTTTATTTCAACACATGATGTTTCAATGAGGAGAGAATTCATTTTGTTTGAACATTTATTGACACATGCCATATGATAAGGTGCATGAACACCTGAAATCACAGCTGACTGCAGGAGAGAAGAGAACCATGTTATAGTTTGACTGCAGCACGTTGATTGGCTGCTGGAGAATGAGGTGAAATGTAATAGGTTAAAGAGAACGCCTGTGATGAGCTGATTATATGCAGCTGCGGAGTGAATGTATATACACCCAGTCTTCCTGAAAGAAATGAAAGCTTTAGCGCAAGTTCAATAAGGAAGACCTAACACGAGTCTCTTACATGTCACTCTATGGCTCCCTTCCCC